CCCAACTGTGCTGCCAGTGGTCAGAGGAGAAATCTGGTGCTAAACTTTCCTTTTTGAGGTGAGGAAGCTGGCAGGGGACCCTTTTATTTTAGACACTAGAGATGAGTTTAGCTATTTTTAAAACACCTGAAAATTTTAGAAAAGAAAGCTCTACTTCCTTCAACTAATATGGAAGGACAAAAAGAGGGTGGAGGCTTCTGTTTGTCCATAACAGTCTCATAGTTACAGTGTAGATATTTTGAGTGTTAAAAATTCAGTGCTAGGAACACATCTTGTATCCACATCTGGAAATGAGAAAAGCAGCATATGAAACAAGCTTTGAAGACTTTCTGGAAGGTCCAAAGCAAATATTATAGACTTGACTTCTAAAAATCAGAAAACAACCTGAAACATGAGTATGATAAAAATCATCACAGCAAAAGAAATTAGAGGAAGTTCTGTGACAGATTGTATTTTGTGGGCAAAGATGACCACAACATTGTTCCTCCCAAATGTGCTTCGAGAATGTTGCCATTTGTCTATCAAAAAATTTAATCCTTCAAGTCCCATTAAATATAGGGAAGTATGTAAAAGTGATTTGTTGGAAACAATGCTGTATGACTTCCAAAGTTAGGTTAAGGTTCATCAGTCTCAGCAGCACTGACATTGGAGGCTGAGTAGGTCCTTGCCATGGGGTGCTGTCCTGTGCACTGTAGTATATTTAGCAGCATCTTTGGCCTCTAACCATTAGAAGCCAATAGCAGCACCCATCACTGGGCATATTCAGGCACTGCCAAAATTATCGTGGTGAACAAAATCCCCACCCTCCCCCTCTCCTGCCACCATTGAAAACTGCTCCAGTAGGTCATAAAAGGGATAAAGCTTGCTCATTACACCACTCACTTTTTAAATGTGTGTTTATTTTCATCTACTTGAAAGGCAGGGACAGAGAGACCTTCCATGTTCACTCCCAAATGTTCACTGGTTCACTCCCAAATCCCTGTAACAACCAGGGTTTGACTACGCCAAAGTCAGCAATATAGAACTCCATCCTAGTTTCCCACGAGGGTGGCAGGGGCCCCAACACTTAAGCCACCATCCACTGCTTTTCAGAATGTATCGACAAAGCTGGATAGGAAGCAGAGGTGCTGGGACTCAAACTGGCCCTCTGATATCGAGTGTGGGCATCCCAAGTGTCCAACTCCCACCCCTCCACTCACTTTTTAGCCCTGAATATACCTGAAAAAGTGTAACTGTAATGAATTACCATGCTGTCAGAAAAAACAACTATAGGAGAGGTGATGAGCAGATGCTCCTTTATTGGGCACCAACAGGTCCTGGCTCACAGATGGCACCAGACATATAAGTGATAGTGTCTACCATCAAGTCACTTGTGCCAGTCCATACCCTGGACATTGTGAAGCGGAGACAATCCTTTCTTCTGTTCTCTGTGTCCTTGACTTGCAGAATGTCAGTTGTTACTTAGTATGACACGTTTTGTAATCATTGTTTCAAAACAATATAATGGGTCAGAAATTTGTTACTGAAAATGAAATGAAAAATAACTAAATAAAAAGTCCTAATGATCATATTGAATGTGGGACTGTAAAATCTTTTAAAACTTCAGGAAAAAGCTAAAGTGGGACTTCATAGATTCTTTTAAACAGAACAGCTTCTAAGAGTCTTAAGTGAAAGCCTCAAATATATTCTCCCCTAAATGATAGGGCCCTAAGAAACCAAGCTCTTGCAACACAGCAGCCTCACAGGTAGCTCAAAGATAGGCCTACTACTTATTAGTATGCATTATAGATTGACGTAGAAAACTCATCAAGTATTTTCAGTAATGATATAAATTTAAGCTGAAAGCAGTAGAAAGAATGCAACATAAAAATGAAGTTTGGACTCCCTAACTTCCAGAAAGGAAGAAGGCTGAGAAGCCTGTTCAATTAAAAACATGAGCCACTTCTGTGGAAAGGAAGGGTGACTTCATAGGTAGAACCAGGGGGCCAAAGAGGAGGAAAATCACCTGTGAAAGGTCACTCCAATAGGACAAACCCATCGCTGAAAAACTGAAAACACCAGCCCTAATGGATACCAAAATTACAGTAGGCCAGGACCACTGTGTGCCTCCTGCTTCCTTCCATTTGAATGAAAGTGTTTGTTATTCTTACCTCATGCCTGTCTTAAACATTCCATGTTCAGAATAAATGGACAAATGACTTCTGTACTTAGATTATGGGTCTTCGCATCAAGAAGAGTGGCACTCACAGAACAGGGCGAGAAGAACCACAGCTCAAGAACTCTATCCGCACCTTGATCTTGTGTAGATGATCAAACCCTGGACTTGAATCTTTGCCAAATGCCATAATGAGATGACACTGGGAGGTGTTAATTGTATTTTACATGTAAAGCAGTAGGCTGTAGCAATCTCTGTTTTCCTAAGATGGCAATCTCTAATTACATGTGTTTTTCTAGAATGTTAGAAGTGCCCTATGGGGTCCAGTGCAGTAAAGCTACCACCTGCAGTGCTGGCATCCCTCTGGGTTTCAGTTCGATTCCTGGCTGCTCCACTTCAGATCCAGCTCCCTGCTAATGTGCCCGGGAAGGCAGTGGAAGATGGCCCAAGCCTTTAGGCCCCTGCACTCAAGTGGGAAACCCGGAAGAAGCTCCTGGCTTTGGCCCTGTCCAGTCCTGGTCATTGGGGCTATTTGGGGAGTGACCCAGTGGATGGAAGATTCTCTCTCTCCCCCTCTCCTTCTCCCTCTCCCTCTCCCTCTCCCTCTCCCTCTCCCTCTCCTTCTTTCATTGCCTTCCAAATAAGTAAATAAATCTTTTTTTTAAGTCATCTATGAAAACATATATCATAATATCGGTCTTCTCTTGAATCTCAATGTGTTTGTGACAATTGGAATGTGGCAGAAACGATACATAGGTTCTAAAATATAACTTCTACCTTGCTCTTCAAAGTGCAGTCGTGCTGGGGATGTCATGCAGTGAATAAAGCCCAGACCTCCTGGAGAGGACAGCCCCAGCTGAGGTCCCAGCTGACAGACTGCAGGAGCCACCAAACATCTGAGGAAGAAAAATCCCAAGTCTCCCACCGTATTCTATTCTGCAAAGTGCAAAATCACCTGAATCCTTCCAGGCTCCTCAGCTGAAATCTGGTATTGTGAGGAGACAAGTAATTCTTGCCATGCTTTGTCCAATCCCCAACTCACAATCTTTGAGTACAAGAAAAATGTTTTTAAGCAACTAAGATTGGATCATTCAAAACATAGCATTATTTACTGTAACACACTGTGCACACAGTTAACTTAAATAAAAGGAACAGGGGCCGGTGCCATGGCATAGTGGGTAAAGCTGCCGCCTGCAGTGCCAGCATCCCATATGGGCACCAGTTCGAGTCCTGGCTGCTCCACTTCCAATCCAGCTCTCTGCTATGGCCTGGGAAAGCAGCAGAAGATGGCCCACATCCTTGGACCCCTACACCCACATGGGAGACCCAGAAGAAGTTCTTGATTCCTGGCTTCAGATCGGCGCAGCTCCAGCCATCGCAGCCATCGGGAGTGAACCAGTGGATGGACAACTCTCTCTCTCTGCCTCTGCCTCTTTGTAATTCTGACTTTCAAATAAATAAATAAATAAATCTTTAAAAAAATGAACAGAAAGAAATATAATAATTTGAGTGATTTCAATTGGAATAGCATGGTGTAGTGGCTTCTTTCCCCTCCTTACAGATAGTAGAGGATTGAGAGGCTGTGGTCCAGGATCACTTTTTGAATAAACTGACCAGTTGCCCTGGATTGAGCTCCTGACACTTGTCCAGGATTGGAGAGAAAAACAGAAGGAGGAAAAAAGTAAGGAGGTATGAGGGTTGGTTTTGAATTTTTCAGTTAAAGAAGAAACAAAAATGGAAATTTATAAGTTAGAAATTAATAATAAAAATACATTCAAAAGCATGTAAGAATATGGTCAAACTTTTATGAAACAGTATTTCTGATTGTGTTTTTAATAAAAATGATTACAAGTGAATTAAGCATTGAACTCAAGAAGCTAGAAAAGAATAACAAAAATAAAGTAGAAATAAAGCATTAATAGAGAATCAGAAGCTAATAGCTAATGAACTTGAAGACAAAAAGTAATAGCCTTGATTTTAAAATAAAAGATGATTTCTTTAAAAGATCAGTCTAGTATAAAAAACTTAAGTAAAAGATCCAGAGAGAAAGGAGAAATACTTTTAGAATAAAAATAAACCATATTTAAAGACACAGAGAAGTTTTTGTTTCAATTTTAAAGGAGAAAGATGTTCAACTTCGTGCCCATACATTTTTAAATTAAATTAAATAATCTTTGAATATGTAAGCAAACTTCTCGATGTGATTAAAATGTACTAAAATCTCCACTGTGTTTGCTCCCAACACACACACAAAAAGGCGACAGGTCTCAGTAACAGACTTCCTCTGTTATATAAACTGTTCTCCAGCATGGGAAAAGATATGAAGCTTCCAAGCCATTCTGTGAAAACACTGGCAGCAAAATGGAACACAATGAAATGAAATGTCATTTTTGTACTTAAAGCAATGTTATAAGTAAATGCAATCCACTAGTTCTTTAAAAATGTACTGCATCTGGGATCCAGAATTTTGTGACACCAGCATCCCATATGGGCTGGCGCTGTGGCACAACAGGCAAATTCACCTTCTGCAGTGCTGGCATCCCATTTGGGTGCCGGTTCAAGTCCTGGCTACTCCACTTCTGATCCAGCTCCCTGCTAATGGCCTGGGAAAAGCAAGAATGGACCAAATTATTGGGCCACAGCATGCCCGTGGGAGACCTGGATGAAACTTCTGGCTGCTGGCTCAGCCCAGGCTAGTGTAGTCATTTGGGGAGTGAACCAGCAGATGGAGGAGATTCTCTCTCTCTCTCTCCCTTCCTCTGTAATTTTCAAAATAAATACATAAATCTTTTTTTTTTTAAAAGTTTAACATTAAAAAAAAAAAGTACTACATCTTGACCAAGTAAATGTAAGCTAGCGAAAAGGAGGGTGGCAAACTACTAAGAAACAGCTTCTGCATTGCTTCAGTTGCAAAGAGGAAAAAAAACCGAACAGAAAAAATTCCTGACCGCAGCAGCCCGGGCTGAGTGGAGCCTCACTTAAAGAGTACAAGTGATGTCATCAGTTCCCTCTCAGCCCTCCCCTTCCCTGCTCCTCCTGATCCTCCCTGTTGCCGACGGCCTTTTTGCACTCACTGCTCCCTAACTTCCTTTTCCCTGGCCCCTCCCGGGAAGCCGGCCCCTAAAGGTAGCGAGGGAATCCTGTGGGCGCAAGCTGGGAAGAGACTGGCGAATAAGCGTCGTTAGGAACTGGAGTTGCGGGCCGTTAGCGCCGGCAGTCTGCTGCGGAAAGGATGGGCTGCAAGATCCTAGCGCCCTCTGCGCGCGACCCGGGGGAACAGAACGCCGAAACCCACCCGCCGCTCGCCGCCCACCCCAGACGTCGGGCGCGAGTGGTCCCAGTAAGAGACGGAAAAGCTCGGGGACCAGAGAGGAGCTGGAGGGTTAGGGTGGGCTTGGGGACGTGGGGAAAGGGTGGGATTGTCCTGACCCCTACCCCAGGCTCCGGAGGAGACGCTTTCCTGCTGCAGAGCTTGATTAGAATACCCAGGGGCTGCGCGAGAGGGCGCCAGCCACGCCCGCGTGAGGCCTCCAGATCGCGGTCGGTCGGTAGCCAGCCGGGATGCCTGGGGAGCTGGTTGCAGATGAACTGGGGAGCAGGGACTTCCACCGTCCAGCTGCGGTAGACGGGGACACGGCCGTCATCCTTGGGTATCACCTATCATAGATGTGGCTACTTGTCATCTATAGAACAACCTTTCTACACTAAGGAACATGCACACATTGTGAATCCTGCTTCTGCAGCTATGGTTGTTTAAAATACTCACAACTTTTTCTCGTTTTTCTCCATTCCCTTCTTTTGACTACGTGCTGGATAGAGTGATTCCCATCTAAAAAAATTTAACAACAAATATGTAACATATAGCTGCAGTAATGACAAATAACATCGAAATCTGGGACATAAAAGAATTTCTGGTTTCCTCATTGTTTGCCTCCTTTATTGCTGACAGGTAGGGGCAAGCTGCCATGTGTGACAGACATCATCAGACTCCATAAAAGCTCATGTTTCTGTGACTAGGCACCAAGGCTTTCTGCCAACAGCCATGTGAGTGACCCTGGTGAGCAGTAGATCCTGCAGCTCAAGTCAAGCTTCCAAGTGAATGCAGCCTGGACTGACATCCTGACTGCAACCTCATTACAGATCTCAAACCCAATAAATCTGCTTCACAAAAACTGTTGGTAATAGACATTTGTTATTGTAAGCTACCGAGTTTTCAAGTCATTATACATCCATGGAAAACTAATCCACCAATGTAGGCAATGCAATGTAGATTTCCAGACTGCTTTGCTACTAGGACATGGGCACTAAGACATGTCAGTCTGAAGCACCATGTGAGATTTTGATCTTCAAGTGTATGTGATAGATATGGGTTCTGGGGCCCGCGCTGTGGCGTGGTGGGTAAAACTGCCTCCTGCAGTGCCAGCATCCCATATGGAAACTGGTTTGAGTCCCGGCAGCCCTACTTCCAATCCAGCTCTCTGTTATGGCCTGGGAAAGCAGTGGAAGATGGTCCAAGTCCTTGGGCCCCTGCACCCTCATGGGAGACCCTGAAGAAGCTCTTGGCTCCTGGATCCTGGCTTTGGATCAGCTCAGCCATCTGGGGAATGGACCAGTGGATGGAAGAACCCCCCCCCCCATCTCTCTCTCTCTCTCTCTGCCTTTCTGTAACTTTGCATTTCAAGTCAATAAATAAATCCTTTTTTTTTTTTTTTTTGACAGGCAGAGTTAGACAGTGAGAGAGAGAGACAGAGAGAAAGGTCTTCCTTCCGTTGGTTCACCCCTCACCCCCCAGATGGCTGCTACAGCCAGCGCGCTGTGCCGATCTGAAGCCAGAAGCCAGGTGCTTCTTCTTGGTCTCCCATGCGGGTGCAGGGCCCAAGCAACTGGGCCATCCTTCACTGCCCTCCCAGGCCACAGCAGAGAGCTGGACTGGAAGAGGAGCAACCAGGACAGAATCCAGCGCCCCAACCAGGACTAGAACCTGGGGTGCCGATGCCGCAGGTGGAGGATTATCAAATTGAGCCACGGCGCCAACCATAAAAAAAAAAAAAAAAAAAAGGATAGGGGTTCTATGTGGTGACTGTATTGCTGACTAAGCTGGGGGTTTTCCATGGCAGGAAGTTCAGATTTTTGGCAAAAAAACTGGCATTAGTGAACATGAGTTCCTTCTGGTTCTTACAGGAGTGGGATAATCAAAAGTGGTTTTGTTTTTTTCATCAGGGACACTTTCTGGTTTGATTTTGTGATGTTTTCTTTTAGAGGTTTAGTCTAGAACAAGGTTTAGATGTCTTGTTTCTAAGCCATTCCCAAAATTCAGCGAGCAGCGCATCTTTTTAATACCTCTGTTTAGTCATTAGTCTTACCTTCGCCTATCCCCTTGGCCAATGCAACCTCACAAATATCTTCTAAACCTATTTTCTATTTCCTTGAGTACAAGGCTTATGTCTGGTAATGTTCCAGCACTGCATCTGTGTGCTCATATTCGGACAGAGGCTGGCTCCTTGGGGATACCTCCTCCCACCAGGCCACAGTCTTCAAGCTCAGCATCTCTGCCATTTAGTCTGTAACATTGTAGCCCAAGGAAATGAAAAGTTCTGACTGCTAAAGGTCCTGGGCTGCCTACACAATCCTGCTCATTTTCTTTTTTAACCATATGAATCAAGATGGACTCCTGTGAAAGAAATGTCAGCAACTTGAAGTTAAATAAAAAGTACCTCGGATTGTCATTGAGTCACATGAAATGGCCAGACATGACAATTCTCAGTAAAACCAGTTGTGTTATTGAAAATATTGTTGCATTTCGGGCTGACACTGTGGTAGGTTAAGCCCCCTCCTGCAGTGCCAGCATCTAATATGGTCGCCAGTTTGTGTCCCAGCTGCTCTCTTCTTATCCAAGCTCTCTGCTATGGCCTGGGAAAGCAGTAGAAGATGGCCCAAGCCCTTGGGACCCTGCACCTGAGTGGGAGACCCAGAAGAAGCTCCTGGCTCTTGGCTTTGGATCTGCCCAGCTCTGGCCATTGTGGCCATTTGAGGAGTGAACCCGTGGTTGGAAGGTCTCTCTTTGTCTCTCTGTATAAGTCTTCCTCTTAAATAAATAAACAAATCTTAAAAAATAAAATATTCATACAGTTAATTTGCTTTCTTTGAAGCGGGGAAAATAAAATGATATACAAGTCTTTTTGGGGGATAAATAAAATATCTAAACTTAAGATAATGCTGTGAGTTTATATACCTAAATTATTTTTCAACTACTTTAACCTTATAAGGTTGAAAAAAAATAGCGCTGACAAATAGTACAGGGGTACACATGTCGCTCTTTCTGGGGGCTCCAATGAGTGGCCACACCCCTATCTTTTCCTGGGTGGAAAGTGCTGTGCCCCAGACACAGCTGGTATCTGCAAAAATTACAACCTGTACCATCTTGAGCCCTTAAATTCCTTTTTAACCCTCTGAAAAAAAAAACCAGCAAAGTTTATATTTGGCTATCTATGTTAATCAAGAAAAACAGACACAAATTACTGATGTCAGAAATGTAAATGGGACCATAATTATTAATCTCATGCACTGTAGAAAGATAAAAATCAAACATTATGAGTGATTTTATGGTGCAAAATTTTAACCACTTAAGTATACAGATTGATTCATTGAAAGACGCCATCTATTAAACTTTTGACGAGATAAAACAGATAATTTGAATAGACTCATATCTATTAAACAAATGGAATCCATAATTAATACCTTTCAAAATGGAAAGTAGTAGGTCCAGATAGCTTTAATGATAATTTCTAATGAGCAGTTAGGAAAGAAGTGATATAAATTATTTAAAGAAAATGGAAGCAGAATGAACACCTACAAGCTCATTTTGTAATATCAATTTTGCCCTAATACCAAAGCCATATAAATCACACAAAAGGAAAAATACACACTGATATCATTCATGAATATTAAGGTTCTCAACAATGTTTAGTAAGTCCAATGAAATAATTTTAAAGGAGAATTTACTTGAAGTAAATTTCAGGCCATTGAAATCAACTAATGCTGTCATTCACAATAGCAGTCAAAGGAGAAAACTTACTTGATCATATTAATAAATGCATGGAAGTACATTTTAGAAAGCTTTTATTTAATAAATATAAATTTCAAAGGTACAGCTTTTGAAATATAGCTGTTCTTCTTCCCATACCCACCCTCCCATCCTAACTCCTGTCCCACCTCCTACTCCCTCTCCCATCTCGTTCTTCATTAAGATTTATTTTTAATTATTTTTATATACAGAAGATCAACTCTATACTAAGATTTCAGCAGTTTGCACCCACACAGACACATGGAGTATAAAGTACTGTTTGAAGACTAGTTTTGCCATTAATTCTCACAGTACAACTCATTAAGGACAGAGGTCCTACATGTGGAGCAAGTGCACAGTGACCCTTGTTGTTGATTTAACAATTGACACTCTTATTTATGATGTCAGTGACCACCCGAGGTTCTTGTCATGAAATGCCAAGGCTAGGAAAGCCTTTTGAATCCATAAACTCTGACATTATTTAGACAAGGCCATAATCAAAATGGAAGTTCTCTCCTCCCTTCCGAAAATGGTACCTCCTCCTTTGATGGTCTCTTCTTTCCACTGGGATCTCACTCACAAAGATCTTTCATGTAGGCCATTCTTTGCCTCAGTGTCTTGGCTTTCCACGCCTAGAATGCTCTCATGAGAGCCCTTAAATTCCTGAATAAAAACTGGTTCCTCCGTGAAAACAAGACTCACTAAAGTTTCTATCAGAAATAAAGCCTGAAACACAGGAATGATAAAAAAAAAAATCAGTTTCTGGGCTCACTACCTAAGACAAATATCTCCTCTGCATTGGGCTGCACAAAATTGACAAAAGAAGAAGTGACGGTTGTCTGCCAGACTGAAACTGAAAGCACTGGAATCCCAAATAGGAAGCTTCAGAAGAGACAAATTGGGCTCCCTCTTGCAGCCCTGGGCATGCAGTTAGGGATGCTTTGCGCTCTGTGTACAGGGGAGCTCGCGCGCCTTGTCTGGTGGATCACAGAATTCACAGTGGGCCTGCTCTAGTGGCTGATGACAGGAGGGACAGACAGACACTAGCAACCTTGTCTGCTCAGTTGGCTGGGGAGTGGAAAACAGGGAAACCTTCATGCTGCTGAGACAGCTGTAAAGGATAGCCTCCAAGTCATGCCTGAATGGCAGGAACCACTTCACATTTCCCTGGATCAGAGCAAATGCCACCCAAATCCAGAAGACATGAGTCACCTGCAGATCTTCAACCACTTCAACACCAGGCTGTTCGGGGTGAGATCCCCCTTGATCAGCCCTCTGTAGCCTTGATCACAGTCGGGAGCAACACGAGCAGGTAAAAGTAGGAAATCCCTCTTGTTCTTATTTGGGAATTGCTGTTCAGTAATATTTCCAAAAAGTCATCCTCTATCTGAAGGAAAAAGAATACAGCCCCTATGTCTGGGTCATTGTCAGCAGGGAAGTTGAAATGCATTTTCTCATCATTAGCAATCTGCAAGGAAAAGAGAGGCAATAAAGAAGAAAGGTATGGCTGTCCAACTAACTACATTTTTAGAAAAAAAGATTTATTTATTTCATTTGAAAGGCAGAGTTAGAGAAGGACACACACACACACACACACACAGAGAGAGAGAGAGAGAGAGAGAGAGAGTCTTTCATCTGCTGTTTCATTCCCCAAATTGTTTCAATACCTGGGGCTAGGCCAGACCAAAGCCAGGAGCCAGGAACTTCCTCCAGGTCTTCTACTTGGGTGGCAGAGGCTCAAGTACTGGGCTACCTTCTGCTGCTTTCCCAGGTGCATTGACAGGGAGCTGGATTGGAAGTTGAGCAACCAGGATTTGAACTGGTGCCTATATGGGATGATGGCAGGGTATTTAACAGCTAGTGAAATTAAAAATTATTTACTCACACAAAGAAAAACTAATAGTAACCTACATTAAAAATAAATGTTACAGGCCGGTGCTGTGGTGTAATGGGTAAAAGCCATGGCCTGCAGTGCCAGCATCCTAGATGGAAGCCAATTTGAGTCCCAGCTGTTCCACTTCTGATCCAGCTCTCTGCTATGGCCTGAGAAGGCAGTAGAAGATGGCTCAAGTCCTTGGGCCCCTGGACCCACGTGGGGGACCTGGAAGA